CTTTTTTTAGGCATCAGGTTATCGCCTGATGTCATGACTGTATGACTGCTGCTTTTCAAACCTGTCAGCAAGTGATAAATGGTAATTTTTTTATTTTTAATTTTGATCTACAAAACAAATAGAAAAGCAGTTTTTCCCTTTTTCTGCCAAACGATGTTTCTTCTATTACATAACCTAATGTTCTCAGAGTGTGGAGACAAACCTCTGAATTATTGATGGTAGAAATGCATTGGAAAGACGGAGTAGCAGTTTGAGATGTTACCTCTCTAATCATGAAGACACAAAGAGTTGTATTTAAGTTCAGTTTTCTCTGTTTAAATTCATAAATTTCACTGCAGCTTTTATTTGACTGTTTATTTAGTCTCAAGCTATTGAGAAGTGTGTATATGTATAGAGAAAAGTACAACAATAGTCATAATAAATATAAGATTCTAAAATTAAAGATGAAAAAATGGTTTTCTCTTTATTGTGGGTGCAAACTCTTTCATAATTAAGGATTTGTTTTAGTAATGTGGCCAAAAAACATGTCAATTAAAAAGATAAGTTGCTAATTGGACTGAGAGATGAACAAGAAATCAATAAATCATAATGACTGAATCCATCACTCTAAAGCCCAGTTCACACTACACGATTTTGGAAAAGTCGTCCGATTCTGAAAACGTGAGAGACCATAAGTCCGCAAACTAAAGTTACGCTTTGTCCATGTTTGTTTGTTTACTCTAAATTCAGGTGTGGCAGCGCAGAATTTTAATTTGAAGGGATTTCGTATCTGGAATTAGAACATCTTCGAGTCACACTCTACGATCGAACCCGTTACACCTAGGATTTTAAATCGGCTAGTGTGTGGTCCTTTTTTCCCCCAACCGACCGCGAAAGCTTAACGTATTCCAGCTCCTTTTATTGAAACTTATTGTATTGTTTAAAATTGTATTATGACTGCAGAATAAAATCAAATGCGCCATTTCAACCAAAGATTGGAATGCGCTTCTCAACCCGATGTACTCTGTGCAATACCCCCACCCCGCCCCACAGGGCCGGGGCGGATGTGCGCATGCGCGGGGCCGGGGCGGATGTGCGCATGCGCGGGGCCGAAATGGATGTGCGCATGCGCGGGGCCGAAACGGATGTGCGCATGCGCGGGGCCAAAGCGGATGTGAGGTTGGACAATTTCCGGTGGCTATAGCGTTAGCATTAAAAGACTGGGAAAATGGCTCGGTCTCTGCGCAGTTGCTTTCATATCATGCGTTCCCGACGGACCCGGACCAAGGGAGGCAGTGGATCCAGGCTATCCGAAGAGATGAAGGTCCGGACTTTTGTATAAAGACGGGGAGCACTTTCGTATGTAGCCGCCACTTCACACCGGAGGATTTTGTTAGCGGATCCACCATCAGCCGCCTTAAAAGTGGAGCTGATCCTTCCCTGTTTGCCTGGAATAACTTCACTGCACCGACATTGCAGAGAGTCTGCTTTCGAGAGGGCTAAGAAACGGCAGTTTGTCCTCTCAGAAAGCTAGCCAGGCTGAAGATGCTACTGCGGACCATGACTACACGGCACATCCACCCGCAGGTAAAAGATAGTATATTGTATATATTTTCCATGTAAGATAATTTCAGTAAAATATAACTGTTGCTATATTATTATTATTATTATTATTATTATTATCACATAATAATGAAAATATGAGATTAAGTCTATGGCTGTATACATTCATGCTCCAACTCACAACATGAATTGATCTTCACAGAAGTACTGTTTCAAATATATAATTAAAACTTACTGCTAATCGTATGTTTTGCTATTTCATTTTTTTTTCAGGTGCACTTGATGAAGCTCTGGATTATATCAAGGAGTTGGAGGCCAGACTTCAAAAAGTGGATTTGTCTGCCACACTTTTTAGCCGCTACTGTGCCTCTGATGACCAGATCCGGTTCTACACCAAATTTCCATCTGAATGTGTGTTCCGGATCTTCTGGGAGTCCATTATATTAACTGTTGTAACATTAATTTTTGGTAAATCAGAACCTAAATTTCTGCCAGTCATAACAGTATCTGAATGTGTTGACTTCAGCTTCTAAAAAGCAACTCATTACCAAAGTTAATGTGAGGTAATGACACATCTTTTATTTTAAAATTTTGTACAGCACCACCTCAATTTACATGTCAAAGCACTCAAAAATACAAATGGGTTGAATTCAATTGTTTTAGGATGAAGAATGACTTTTTTCACCTGTTCAAATGAATTCATGATTACGAAAGAATCACTTGCATCCATTTTTGTTGCAACCACTACCAAATAAAAACTATAAAGTTTTACTTGGAGCCAACATAGTCTGATACCCTTAAATAAACTTCAGTACAGCCAGTTAACTTTAGAAGAAGTCACCTAATTAGTGATTGAAAAGTGCAAGTGAAGAGATGCAGCTGTTCATGGAAAGGCTCCTGATGTTTGTTAGAGAACATTAGTGAACAAACAGCTTCATGAAGGACTGCACCCAACAGTGATAAAGCTTTGGTGATGGTATGAAATAATGTTCTAAGCTCTTAACACTTTTTAGACCACTGTTCAAACCTTTATTTGAAAAGAAAATGGGACACGTGCAGCCTCAGAGAAGCAGAAGCTTTATTCGAAGCTGACATGTGAAGAAAAGAAGCTGGGAAAAGCCAATTAAATAATGAGTCATAAATCCCATTTGCAGCTTGCTATGGAGACATGTAGTGGACAGAATATAACTAAATTTTTGTCTGTAGTTGTGGAAAGTAAACCTATTAATTTTTCCACTTCACAGTTTAGTACTTTGTGTTGGCCTATCACATAAAACTCCAACAAGACACAGGGACATAAGTCACACATTACAAACAATGTCTGCAAATGATACGTTGTCAGGACATTGTAATATACAGATCCCACTAAATACATTCCAGATTGCAACACAAATCTGTCAAAACCAGTGAAGCATCTTAATACTCTTCTCCTCAAAAGTAATTTGTCTGAGAACGCCATCAAATTACTGGCTTTTAATCAATTCATCCATCCATCCATTTTCTTCTGCTTATCCGGGGTCGGGTCACGGGGGAAGCAGCTTCAGAAGGGAGGCCCGGACTTCCCTTTCCTCAGCCACTTGTTTCATCTCTTCTGGGGGAATCCCAAGGCGTTCCCAGACCAGCCAAGAAACATAGTCCCTCCAGCGTGTCCTGGGTCTTTCGCTTTTTGACTCGGCTCTCTCTTCACGACGACGGACCGGTAGAGTGCCCGCTTCACTGGTGCCAATCTGCCCGTCGAGCTCCCGCTTCCTTTTTCCCTCATTCATGAACAAGATCCTGAGGTACTTAAATTCCTCCACATTTAGTCCCTCATTTTGAGCAAGTATGGGGAAATGCTGAAGAGAAGCACCTATTAACAGAAAGAAACCTAAACCAGAACCAAGCTCAGCATGAGGTTGGTTCATACTGACCCAAGCTCTGGTGTGACCCGCTGAGAGGATAGAATGGAAATGCAGATGAAAAACAAGATGCACTGCGTAAGGAGCTCAGCAAGTCCTTTATTATTTATTTATTGTAAAAAAAGAAAAAATTGTAGGCAAATTAAATGGCAACGATGGCTCTGACCTGGAAGTCCAGAGTAATATTTTAGTTAAAATCAGAGTTGTACCATTTGAACAAATGATAAAAAATTATGTTAATTTTTTTTTAAACAGTAGGAAAGCATGTGAACAAGCTGGTAAAAGTACAAATCCCCCAGTCTCAGCAGCTTGTTTCAGTCTCGGCAGCTTCTAGTGTGTTGCTGAGAGAAAAGAGTTTTTCCTTTAGTAGTGACTTTTCTGTTAAAGCATTTGAGTCATATTAATGGGTTGGATTGCAGATGCTCCCTGACTATCTGGAGAAACATCCTCGACTTCAGGTTAACATCCAGCTTAAGGTTGGAGCGCTCCTGAACCTCCTTCAGGGCTGCTGAAGGAGGTTCAGGACCCTTCTATATTTTTATATAGAAGGAGCATTACATAAGACCAAGCATACTATTATTTTAGTGGAAGGAAAAAAAGAAAACGTTTTGTTTTATCAAATCCAGTCAGCGGAGTTGTCTGTCAGAAAATGTTAAATTACGCCAGTCTTCCCTCTTCTGATTAACTTTATTGGATGCATATTTCATTTGTCAGCAGGACTTGGTAACCTTAAAGTCCGTTAAGTCCTTACATAAGGAAACTTATGGATACACTTTTCAATAGGTTGACATTTGTGTTTTTTTATTAGTGTAATATTTGAAATTTCTGGAAGACTAAGTTTTGGATTTTCATCTGCTGTAAGCCATAATCCTCAAACTTAGTTTGTGTTTAATAAATATACATTTTTCATTCTAAGTCATCAACCTGCTGATGATGTCCCAATTTCATCTGCAGGTTGCTTCTGCTAACTGTCAGAGTTGAAAAAACAACTATGCATGGGAATTCAAAGTCTTTCATCTCTGAGTTGGACCTTAAACAAATTGAGTTGCAGTCAACTTGCAGCAAATTATGTGCATCTGACTTTAAAAAAGTACATTCGGTTAGAATTTAAACGGCAATAAATTTCAGTCATAATATTATTAAATCTCTGCAAATTTTTTTTTTTTCAGTCTAGCAATAAAGTGACTTCAGTTTATGCACAACGAAGGCAAATTAGCGAGTGAAGCAGAAAAGCAGCCACAATTTAATGCTACAAGCATGACACTGCAGCATGTTCTTCATTAACATTTCTAAGTAGTTGCTGCTATAGCAGAAAACCACAGTTGTGGCTCATTCATGATAAAATGTTATTAAATGCTCAGTGAACATGACGTTTTAGATTCCATCTGAAGCACAAATAAATTCTCAGTTTCAATTGCAGACAGTCGTTTCAGTGTCAGTACGGATTCTGTTGCTGCATCTATGTACAATAAAATTCATTCTACCTTCTGACTGCTTTAAACACTTGTTCTCTGGCTCCTGGTGCTGCAGAGGATGCAGAAAGTCCACGGAGCTCTGAGGTTTTTGTATTTGTCACGTTCTCAAAGCTGCTCTAATTCTGTGGCAGCTGATGATCGCAAACAGCAGAGTTGCAAAATCAAAAGCACCTGCACGTTTTATTTGATTTGAGAAGAGCTGTTCGGAGGGAGCTCAGTTTGGATGGTTGAAATTTTCTCTCCAATAATTCCCAGGGAGCTCTCCCTGTGCGACGAGCATGGAGCTCCCCTCTCTGCCGATCGCTGCGCTGAGCTGTTGTCTTCATCTGTGTTCACAAAGGCTTCTCTGCTTTGTGGTTTGATGAACTGCACGCTTAGTCTCGGAGCGACTGTGGCGGCACCCTGATGGTTCGGTTTACGGAGGCAGTGGGAGAGGGTAGAAACACAGCTCTTCTTGAAGTTCTCATTCATGAAGGCATACACGATTGGATTGTTGAAGCTATTGAAGAATCCAATGGCCTGAACAATGGCGATGATCATGTTCAGGGTGACGCCGTCATACTTCTTTTCCAGATCATCTGGACAATTGCATATACACAAGTAAGTTAAGTTAAATGTAGTTGTTAAAGGGATAGTTATTTTTTACTGTATTTTTATTTCTTTTTTAAATCTAAGGTTCTGTGGAGTAGACATGAACAATCAGTATATTAGCATACCTAAAACCTCAGTGTGGATAAGCAGAACAAAGCTCTGACTTCAGAGTTCAATTAAATGCCGATAAGAGCAAAAAAAAAAAGACAAAAGTAAGAGCCAAAATTACTCGAACACCAGAGGAACGACTGACTCAAATGGTCACAAAATAACCCAAAACATCTAAAGCACCATAAGCCTTCTTTATCTCATATAGTCGATAGTTTGCTAAGTGTATTTAGCAGAAAAAAAGTCACACATACATCACTGATGTTGACTTTCTGGTGCACAATGGCAGATGTCTGAATATTTCGGCTCCCCTCTGTGATTTTGTCACATTGCTTTTTGACCGGCTGCATTAGACAGTCAGTCAATCAATCAAGTGTATTTGTAAAAGTAAATTGCAGTTGCTCAAATTGCTTAATATGAAAACATAAAAACATTATGCATGCCACCCCACAGAAATTTTGAGCCAAAACATTTCAACATGTTCAATATCCCCAATTTTAGATGCGAGCATGCTCACTGGAGTTTACTCCAGGTCACAACACATAGCAGGAATATTTAATAAGAATGTCTTATTAGATAAGAGCCATGCTAATAATTGGGTGATCCTTCAGATTATTGGAAGAGGAAAATCTGGACAAAAATTGGCATAAAGAGCTTGCTGAGTGAACTGGATATTATACAAACAGATAAAGGTTCAAAGCGCATTACTGTCTCCTCCTCTGAATAAATAAGAACATTTCTTTAAAGTGTCAAGTAAAGTAAAAATCTGGACTCTGATTGAGATTATGTGGCATGACCTCAAAAGCTAGAAAATCCATGAATGAGCATCTACAAATTCTTCCACAGCGAAGTTAAAGATCCCAGTTTCTGCAAACACTTGATGGAAGTCTTCGGGAGCTAACTTTTTTTTCCACATAAAAACAGGTCGTTTCGGCTGCCTTCTCCCTTTATTAATAAACATCTACATATTGCTTTTCATATTTATTAAGGTTGACTTTGCCTGAAGATTTTTTCTGTGTCACAAAAAGAGAAGAAATATTGAGGAGTACAAATGCAAAAAGTACATTAAGCCATACTTACTGTACTCAAAGAGCATGTGGACTGTGTGGAAAGGAGCCCAGCAAATGGTGAATAGCAAGACGATTGTGACCATCATTTTCACAGCTCTTTTCTTTTTCCTGAAAAAAGGACACATTATCATTTAAGAGTAAACACTTATGTAGGCAATAAAGTGCATCTCAAATTTTACTGCGCTAGTTTTTCAACAAAAGTGCACCAGTTATTAATCCAGCTGCTTACAGCTGGAAAAAGGACACGTGGACCTCCTGGTTATATTAAAGTCAAATTAATCAAATAATAAGATTAGTAGCCTATAATCTTTTATGTGTTTGAAGGCCGGTGGAGGTTTGTCCAGTGGATGGCACCTTTTGATCATTGAAAAGAAGCAAATAAGGTCAATATCTAATAAGTACTTTGTTAAAGAAAACATCAACAGTCTCAGTGCCTACATTTTCTTATTACTTTGTCATTGTATTAATGACATTCTTATTAAAAGCTTTTTAAAAACAATATCTGCAAGGTGAGGATGAGTGAAAAGATGAACACATCATTTTACAAAGGACTTACACTGATTGGTATACACTGTGTCCAATTGTCAATTTACCATTTCAATACAAAAAAAATCTAAAGTGGGAGAGTTATAAGCAAGCATGTGAAAGAAGCTTCCATTAATTGTAAACAAATATCATCCATATGCCAATGGATTACAACATTTATCCCTGCCTCTTCTCTTCACTGACTTATCATATCAGCGTGTTTTTAAAAAGCATTTTTCTGACAAAAGAAGTGTATTCACAGGTTGTAAATGTCACTGAACATCTTGTTAATTGAAGGAGACCCCACTGTGGTACCCACCTGGAGATCTTACCAATCTCCCGGTGGTTCATGGTATTCAGGACCGACGCGTCGCCCACCCTCTTGCGAATCCACAGCTCAATAGCGATGCGTGTGTAGAGGAACAGCATGGCTGCCAGAGGGAGCAGGAACAGAGCCACCATGATGAAGGTGGTGTACGCCTGTCTGTAGGTCAGCGAACTCCAACTCTCCTGACAGCACACGTGGTAGTGATCGTACAGAAAGTCATACTTCACCTGGGGATGGGTAACGAGAAAAGCACTTTTCTGGATTTATTTCACATTCACAGTGTTTGTAAAAATGTTCATCTGCCTTGACCTTCTCCACAGATTGTCACATTGCAACGGCAAGCTGTCACACACCCAGTTCTTCATTGAGATGTGGACGGAAAAATATGTATGCAGGAAAAATCTGAAAAGTTATTTGAACGCTGTGGTCAACCTACCTCACTCAGTAGTTTATAATTACAGCAACTGCTACTGTAATTACATTACATTACATTTTTGTATGTCCTTTTTTGTACAATAGTTCAGGTAAAGTCAGACTGAATTAAGAATGTCTGCAAACAGCTGGTGCTGCTGCAGATTCTCAACTAGATTTAGATTTGGCCTTTGAATGAGTCTTTCTAACACTATATGTTCAGGGTCATTGTCCTGCTTAATTCAGACGTTTTTGGATATCCTATATCTTTCAGTGTTCGCATGTCATAAAATTTTTGTACAAAAGGTTTTGTTGCAACAATTGAGGGGGTCTTTGATTGTTTTTGAGACAGTGGTCGGAGACAACGACTCTGACAACCATTCACCAAAAATCATCACTGCACATCAACTAAGGTAATCACTTTTACTGACTTCGGTGATGATGTGCTGGTCTATGATAAATTGTTTGCTTCACACAGATCCATATGAAGACTGATTATCCAGTGAAATGAGGGAAGCTATAAAAGCCTATTTAGTAATGGGGCGCTATGAAGGACACTTACCTCTAGCTGCTGCACAAATAGCATCGGTGAGCCCACTATTACAGAAGCAATCCACACAAGCCCTGTAGAAGTCATGCAGAAAAAAAGCCGATGTTAGAGTTCTTGCTTTGATAAAAAAATTTCCATAAAATTGTAAAAACAACCTTTTGCCATCAGTGCCACTGCCCTTCTCACTTGATTCAGATGCTCCAAGGCAAGTTATTCAACATTTCTTTGATCTGTTTCAGTAGTGTAAAGCCACCGTACTCAACTCACATAACCCAATTTTGGATGATTTTGGATGATGATTCTTGGGACTGACTTTAAGGGTTGTATAAAAATCACATCAAACAAAATAGAATTATTTTCTCAGCAAATCTTCATCTCATTTTGATTTAATTCATTTTTTTTGAAGATGAAAGCTCTCACTCCACATATTATAGGAGCTTGTGTGTGTGACCTGTTGAAAATAGTTTACAAAGGAGAAAACAGAGAAGCGTACAAGGTAGGAAACATAAATATGGAAACTTTCAAGTGAAATATAATACCAAGCATCTTGTACGCTCGTTTAGATGAGTACTGCCGCCTCATTTTCAGAGGGAAGACGATGCCCTGGTATCTTTCAATGGCGATGCAGGTCATTGTCAGGATCCCTGTCACTATGGCTGTGGTCTGCACAAAAGGAACTGTCTTGCAAACCAGAACCCCTGCAGGCACAAGCAAAGGGGTAAAACATGAAGTCCAGAAAAGCAGTAGAGGTCAGTGAAAAACAGTGAGGATGGGAGGATTGTGACAGAAACAAAGGCAACCTCGTCATCTTTCCCCACAGAGATGGCAACATCTCTGTGGTCCAGACTTTTCCCCTGAACTTTTTGCGGGAACAGACACAGGGGCTTCCATCTCTCTGTGGTCATACTGTGATGTGCTGCTGGGTACATCTTGTTGGTCACATTGTTCAGCGCACAATAATTTTCCAACTAGTGAAACAAGAGGATCATATTTGATCCATCTAAGGAAGCAGTTCTCAATCCCACTAAGTTTTAGTCAAACATATTGGTCAAACTTCTCCCTCCATAAAAGTTCAACAAAAGACATTGAATCACACCACCATACTCACAGAAACAGATTATTTCAGCCTAAATAGTTTAATTTATCAAATAGAAATTTATGCAAAAGTAAATGTAAACCACATTTTCTATGTCTGATTTATATTCTGCCCCACCAAGTCAATGCTACATAAAATCACCTGGTCTTTATATACGTCAGCTATGCATATCTACAGCCTAATAGTTTTGCAGCTTTGTCCTTATTGCATAGCTCAAGTTTATTCAAATTGAATAGCGGGCATCTGTTGGATTTAGGTACAGATGCCTAAATCCAACATCTGTGATGGCCTTGAACTTCTGTGAAGGCCATCACAGAAATTTGCAATGATGTATTGGGTTTGCTTGGCTGGAAACTGAACCTTTCACATCAGGTTTAAGAGGTTTGTCTCCATCAAAGTTTGCTTTTTTCTCATATTTGCTGTGTCCCATAAATGGATAGAGAGCAAACTAAATTTTATTTCTGTAAAAGACAGCTTTCTTCTTGGCACTGGTTCATAAAGTTCAGATTTGTGGAGCGCACATCTAATGGTTTTCCTGTCGACAGATTCTTCCACCCCCAACGTGGGTCTCTACGGCTCCTTCAGAGTTGTCTTTTTTTCTCCTGCTACTTATCTGATTATTGCTCTCTTTGTGCAGGTTGTCAATTTAAGTGGATGACCTTCTCTGGGTAGGTGTCTTGGGTTCTTTCTATTATAAGACGATGACTTCAACAGTTCTCTGTGAAATCTCCAAAGCTTTTCATAGTGTTTTATATTCTAACCGTATTTTAAATTTCCCCACAACTTTATCTTTGACCTGCCTTTAACATTGCTCGATCGATAAGATGTTCGTTCATTAGTGCTGTCTGACTAACCTTCATTCGCTTCACAATTTATAAACTCGTTTGTGGTGGTGTCCCACATCAATGCCAAATCAAATGAACTTGACGTTGAGGACATAATGTGGAAAAAGTTTAATATTTTTGCAAATGCACTGCTGTATGATGAAGCATGAAATTATATTTACAATCTTTCAATACAATGAGAAAATAATTAAAAAAAACCACTAATAATGAATAAAAAATGTGGAGCAATGGAGAGTTCAACCTTTTTCAAATATATCAAAACAATAAAATCAAAAACTGCATTAAGAGGTATTGTGGTATGCAGGCAATATGCTTGCACACAATGTCATTATTCCCTATTTAAAAAGAAGCAGGGCTGCAGTCCTGTTCATAAATAACTGTTAATCTTGTTATTTTCCCTTTAATTGTCACATTTCGTCACTTTCTCTTCTCGCCTCATTAGTTGTAGTTTTTTGTGGGTCATGGATTTGACCAGCTGGTCAGCAGGAGCCAGAGGCACTTCATCTCTCATATTCTCACAGATGTCTGACTCAAACTGATATGCTCTTTTCTTCTTTCATCATTTTCTGAGACTCTAGGGTTTATTTGTCATTTCAGTGTATTGCCTGCAGCTGTGGCTCAGGTTTCTCCTTCGGGTTTTATGCCTTGAAGGCATTCTTGTTGCTTTTACATGCTGTCCAACAATTTACTTTGAAGTGTGTTCTGAATCATAACTTGAATTAGAGTCTTACTGAAAAGGGTTGCTAAGTGATACACTTCATATAAATTAATTGTACTGATGTTTTCAAGCCTTTAGTTCTATTAATTATGTTTTTTCTGCTTACAGCTAATGAAAACACATTTAAGAGTAGAACATTACACCAGACCAATCAAATTTTTTTTACTACATAATATTTTAACACTGTTTTAATACTGAAATGTGTAACACCTGCTAGAAGCTGACTAAAATAAATCACTGTGTGAAATGAACATATATTAAATATACAATTGTAATTTATAAATTAGAACTTACTGTACATCTCAACGAGTCTCATTTGTAACTTTGAAAATCTACATTGTTCATTTCTGTGTTTACTATTATTATTAGTATTTTACTTTTGAACAGTTGAGAGTGGCTACAAGATGTTGCTTTTATAACCAGGAGAAGCTGATTAGCTCTTCAAAAGCTCAAATAATACCTGGACAACCACCAAAAAAAATGAATTGATGCAGAGCAGGACCAAAGAACAGAGAGAGAAGAAAGAAGTTCAAACCATCTGTTCCATCGACCATAATGGTCAAGGATCATATCCCCAGCTCTAACATCTTTCTGCCAAACAAAAATTTAGAGAGTAGTTGCAAAAGCAAATGAGGTGGATTAGCAACAACTAATGGTGTCATCCAGGAAATGTTACTGTAGAATACCCCTCATACTGAGCTTTTATCATGTCATGACAGACAGTTATTTATGAGAATGTCATGCAACAAAGGTTTCAGTCAGAGGCCTCTTCAAATTTGTTGCAAGTCTGACTGCAACCCGAGATCCTTGCCACAGCATCACCATTCATTTGAGGATACTTGGATCATATGAGTTAAGACAACATTTATTTTCCATTTGTCTTAAACAAAGCACATTGATTAATTTAAATTTGAATATTAGTGTATTAATTAATTACTTAATTAATTAGTGTATTAATAAATGTTATTATTAATTAATGACATCTAATAACCTTTTAGATGTATCTCTAATTTATTTTTATTATGCCTGTATTTTATAGGGATTTGGAGAACGAGGGATTTGCATCTTCTTCTTAATTATATGTTGTTTATTTGTTCACTTAGGAGAGAGCAGGTGATTTTTATAACTATTTCCTTCAACTGCGCTGACATGCAGCCACATGAAAGGTATTACATTTTCTGCGAAACCTCCCCTCCCCCCCCCCCCCCCCAACAACTTCTTTTATTCCCACACTGCAAAATGCAAGTTATTGAAAACTGAAGCTCACCTCCAAACCATTCAGACGAGATGTTCTGTAACAAAGTGAAAGGTATGCAGAAGAAAGTGATGAGGAGGTCGCTGACCGCCAGGGAGCAGATGAAGATGTCCGTGGCCGTCTGGATCGCCCGCTTCTTCAGAACTATGTAGATGACCAGACTGTTTCCGGCCAGAGCCAGGACGAAGATCACCACATACATGATGACGAAGGTGGTCTTGGCGCTGTACGGCAGCTCGGGGATGTAGACGAGCGGCTGGATGTTGTAGGTGTTGATGAACTCCTGGCGGCTCAGGTTGTAGAACTGGAGCATCTCCTGCAGCACTTCGGGGGTAATTTTGGAGGAACCCTGCCCCGAATCTGTCGAGGTTGTTGCCATTTTCTCTTTGCAAAAGTGTCGATAACTCCGCCGCGAACTTGGAGCGGAAAAAAAAGAATATATCCCAACTCTTCAGAGAGCGGGCAGCATCTTCATCCCAGCTGCTGTCGCTCCTGCAGATGCTTCACTCGCTCTCTGTCTGCCTCTCTCGCTCTGTGTCCTTTCTTTTTCTCTTTGCATATATCAGATGTAAAATTCAAATGGAGATTCACGTCACATATTTTTTTTCGAATTTTCAACAAACTTTGAATGTTTTTTTTTTTAAATTCATGCCTGATTTTTGGGAACTTTCCCTTTTCTTTCAAAGTTTGCTATGAAATAAACGATGTTTAAAATGTGCAGACTGTAGAAAGACTGCATCACCCTTTGATGTAAAAAAAAAAAAAAAAATCTGACCATAATCAAAACTTTTCATCTCATAGTTTGACATTTGCAATCCAACTGACAAAACAAATTTTATGAATGAAATAAGATAGAATTTCACATGGTGCAGCAATTTCAGATTCAAATATTCTCTGAACACTTTCCACAAGGTTAAGAGCTTACAATCTGTTTTCCCTGAGTCCCTCTGTTTCCTGCTGTTGAACACCTGCTTTCCATCTGCTCCTTTACTGTAGAATCAAGTAATTAAGTTCCCAATATTATTCTCAGTCATGTCAGACTCAGATCCTCTTATTGTCTTCACTCCGGTTTCCTGTCAATTCCATTCACTAGATGAACTGTTTCACCCTCTCCAGCATTCCTCATTTGTATTTGGATCCTCTACAAATACTCAATATGACAAAGAATGTGTTTCTATTTTGTTTTTTGTTTTTTTGTTTTTTTTCATGATTAGATTTGTCCGATTTGAAAAAGCTTTGGTAATAAGTTTTTACAGCCTTATAATGATAAACAGTGATACTCATGCAAAAAATAAAAACTATTATAAAAGCATTACTATTCATCTAAAGTAGCTGCACATTTTACCATTTCCAGGAGTGGAAATGGCGAGTCCTTGAATCAACTTTTCCGCTCCACGTGTTCCTCTTTTAGTTCATTGCCTTTTATTCTTCAGAATTATTCTGCTTCCTGTGTTAAACTGTGTGATTCAGCAAGGAACATTTCTACAAAAACCAGCAAAAATGTTCACTTTACCAGAGAAAAATGACAGTCATCAGTAAACCTTAAACATAGTTGCAAATGTCTTTGAGTATAAATAAGACACACAAAACAAGGCTCTCACTGTAAAACCGTTTTTTTGTTGAGCTTCCAGGTAACTTTTATAGGTTGGTTTCTTTTCTTCTGTAGCTTTCCAATGGCAAATCCTCATCTACTTCAGCCTCATGCACAACTTCAGTGTTGAAGCGGCATCAGTAAAAATGGCAATTAAAACTCTACAGTATTATTATATCCACTTAACTAAATGTAGTTCCATACCAACATAAATACATTGCTAAAGTATTTTAACAGTTAAGTTACTTTTTGAATAATTAGTTATAAATGCTATCAATATGCTTTGGGTTTTTTGGGGGGGTTTTGTGACTGGTTGTTATGTTGTGCTAGAATGACTGTCAATGCTGTAAAAATGTAATAGACTTTTTAAAAACCTTTTTATACTAGTGTTGGTCAAAGGCAAGCTTGATTCCAGTTGTTGTCAATTTTAAGTCCTGACTTTCAGGAGGCTCTGGAGAAGTTTGCAGCCCAGTGTTAATCTATTGGGATGATAGTCGGGCCCTCAAGGTTTGAGTAAAACATAAAACATCTCTTGACACTTTTGTTGCATTGTCACAAAGACAATGGCCCTTGTTTCTATTTTTTGGTTGTGTGTGTTTTGGGTTTTTGTACCAAGATGACTGAGATCTTCATGCTCAAAACTGCGGTATATACACAATAGATGACAAAATGAAGGACGAAACATAGTTCATGTTTTTGTTGGGTCTTTTCCTGTTGACAATTCTATCTTTCTTTTGTGTCTTAAGAATCCACTCTTCTATTTTCAGGGACATTGATTGAAAAGGTAACCAGAGGTCTCCAAGAATCAGATTAAGACCACTCTCAAAGATTGCAAGAAAAAAATAATCTAACTCCTTGAAAGCAAAGCATAAAGAAATTACGGCTGATTTTTAACAGTCCTGCACATTTCACACCAGTGTCTATCATTTTGAAATGCTGACGTCTTTAATCAAAAGGTGTCTGGTAAATTCAACTGTGTTTTAAATGTCAGAGGAAAAGGTTGTTTTTTATGAAAGAGACAGTGGAGGAAAACTGGTTATATTTTTTTAAAATTATAAAAACCGATTATATTGTCATGCCAGAGAGGATTAATTTTACTGATAAAAAAAAAGAAAAGAAAATACTGCTAGAAATTGCACCAGCAGGGTGTAACTGGCACAATAAATGATCCACGATGGAAATCATTCTGCAAGATTGAAATTTCTGTTTTATGCCAAACATTCATATTTATCTATTGTTATTATAAAGGCTCTGAGTGTTGTTTTTGTCCTATTTTACTTGTATTTATTTTTTTTATATCAATGGACATTTCAGGTTGTTCTAACTACTAATTAAACAAAACACTTAATTAATTTTTCTCTCAATGGGAAAATGTACGTGTTTAAGCAGAAAACAGAATAACCAAAACTAATAAAAAAGTAATTACATGTTACTTGTGTAGGTTTTTACAGAATAATAAAATTAATAAGGCCATGAGAGAAATTAGATGGCAAGCGCTCATAGTCTGTCTGCAAGGTCTTCATGTGCTTTTTCAAATCAACAACACAGCATAGTAGAAAGCAAAGATGTTCCACAGCCATAATAATAAATATAATAGAATTGTTTGGGGAGTTAAGATAGTTCAAAGTTAACTTTCCTGTAGTGTTGTTTTTTCTTTTTGAACTATGGACCTTCCATTCAAAAATGTTTGACTGAATAATTTATATACATATATAGTTCTTAGTGTATTGATTGAGAAGCATGTTCAAAGTCTCCTTTTCCCATCAACATCCTTGACTGTATGAAACTTGCAAGTAATGAGAAAACTGACTTTTAAGCCTCATGACTCTCATCCAACCACACATTATAAAAAATAAGCTTTTTCAAATCCTTTTGAGCTTACAGCAAAGTTTCATGGAAGAATGAATGAGTATAAAAGAAGACTGATTGGTTTTTGTTTTCTCCCATTTGTCACTTTATTATCTTTCTAAATGGCCTTGGAGGGCTTCGTTGAGCACTGGAAGTCCTTTGGAAACGAGCAGAAAAAGCCAGGTAAGGAAAAAGTGAGTCATGAGGAGCTTTGCTCTAACATGTGTGGAAGCATGTATAATTGATGCAATGTACAAAAAAGCTAGAAAGAAAAAAAAAACAGATGCAACTATACAATATACAACTATACAGTATAGATATAGATATATAGATTATTCACAGGATTTGGGGAAATCAATGAATGGACAAACAACCTGCAAATCACTGGAAAATAGCATTTATTTAATGTTTCATCATCTTTATTCTCATACTTGACTGACATTCCTGTAATTTTAAAGCATTAAGCTTTCTTTTGTAGAAGTCTGTGCTATATTCATCAGTTTCTGATAACATTTTTCTGTCCAATTTTATTCTGTAGTCCCACTAGGCCCTTGTACACCTTATACTTACTCCTGGTGAATGCTTTTTGATCCACTAAGTTAAAAATTAATATGTGGTATTGTGGACTGAAAAGTTACAATTTTGTTTCATCAGAACACCACACAGAAAAAGCAGCTACTACTTCTGAGGCAAAATTGAAGCAACCCAATTTTTTATTATTAAGACATATTTAGAATCCATAGAGTTTAAACAGTGTAAAGGTTTCTCTTTTAATAAATGCGATCTTGGGAATATTTTTGATAGACATCATATGATTCATCCGACAAATTTTCCCTACTTACTTTCGTTGCATGTCTTTTTTCTTGAGCTACAGATAGTTTTCTTTTGCAGGACTGCACATACAAAACCGTACTCATCACATTCAGAAATACAGTATATTTTAAGATTTTTTATGTTTTACAAATGTGTTTAGATTTTAAGAAAAACTCGTATAATGTGATTTCTACAAATTCACTAAGATTGAAAGATAAAAGTTGAATAATTTAAACCCATGAAGACAATTTTACAGAAAATCCCAGATTGGCATGACAAATAATCCATCAGGGGATATCAATGTTTTAGCAGCCTAACACAGGAACAGATGCTGGTATCAGCCCTGCAGGTCAGCTGGTGAAAAGGGCGACAGCATGATTTATTAACTAAAACGGGCTTTAATTATCTAATAATAACAAGCAACAGTTTTAGTATGAGTCACTTGTCAGAGTATTCATAATAGATTTTCTTTACTCTATGGTCTGGAGCATCATAAATAACATCTTTTGGTGCATTCAAGCACACATGCTTGTGGAATGTACAGTTAAATCAAAGTAAAATACAAATTTCACAAGGGATACAATTAACTTTCAAGAAAAGGCAGATGTCAAGGTTTGTCATCTTGATGTAAAACGTACATTTATTTTTAGTTTTTGTTATCTCAACAACTATGAACTTGCTGAATTAGGAATGTATATACATTTATATGAAAAAGAGATGTTGATAGATCCAGTTTATGATTGCATTCTCCTTGAACTATGATTATGGCGTACTCAGTTGTGTTCTTCAGAAGAAAGAATGAGCTTTACTTTTTTTCCTGCCATCTGTTTGTGTGGGTGTCAGCCATCCGCCCGCTAATGGCTGTCTCCACAGCAACAGGTTTTGTTTGACACCAAACTAAAACTTTTAAATTGGTGTTTGTTGGTTACATGAAAGAGGACTCATGTAACATCTATAAAATCTAAAACTTCTATCAGTTAAAATAAATTTCAAATTAAAATTGACTTAGATTATAAATTCAGATGTTTTTGTATCTCATTTGCTAGAAATTGGGAAGCTGGGAATTGTGAGTTAATTGAATTGTACATTTTTCTCATTTTTAAATCATAACTTCCCATTTAATAATA